TTTCATTTCCAGAAGGTGAAGAGCTGGGTTTGTTTCCATTCCCGATGCAGCGCAAAGCAGGTTGCTGCAGCTCGGTGTTAGCATTGCCAGAGCATTTAAAATGTGGTTTTCCAGAACCCCGTTGCAAATGGCTTGTCCTCTGCAGGTGCGTGCGGCACGGGAGGATGGCTGGATTCACCACCATGTTGTAATCTTTCTCAAAGGGAGGGGAGATACTTTCAGATAGGCCCCAGTTATGCTTCAGGAATGGGGATGTGACACTTGCTGCCCTTGCTGGGAAGCAGGGATCAGCATTAGCAGTGACTGGCAGGGAGGGATTAAACCCTTAAATGGTCCCAGTGGTGTCTGGCTGGGGCTGATGGCAATTATACCCACGATACCTGTCATATCCACGGCACATGGCGTAAATGCCAGGCTGATCATTGAAGGTTGTATCTGTATGTTGCATCTTGTGATTATAAATCCTCGTAGCTTACAACAAAGTTATTTCCAACAGTGCTGAGCTCAGAGCATGGGTATAAATCCCGCACCGTATTTAACTTGCCTGTGTCTGTTGGGAGCGTGCTCCATCAACACGCATTTGGTGGCATGGCCAGATTCGTTCTTCTCCTACCGACCAGCTGAGTGCTGCATACGGCACGTCACTTGTGCCGCTGGCATCGTCCCCAGGCCGGGGAGGTTAGCCCCAGCTGCAGCCCTCTCGCTGTGGCCGACAGCATAAGGGCCGTACCCTGCTCAGTCCCCGGGCAGGTGGGTTGGTTTGAGGTGTTAACTGTGCAAAGCGGCTTTGGGCATCACGAAGAAGGGAAGAGGAGGGCAGCCTGCGCCGCCCTGGCATCGCGTTCGGAGTCAGGGCTGCGATCGTCATGGTTTGGCTTCAAGCTGTGATAAACCGAAGCTGGAGCTTTAAATATATAACATATTAACTTCAAAACCACAGGAATTTAAATTGTCTCTTAACACTTCTAGTGTCCTTGAACTGCCTCCGGCGTTTTCTGGGGTGAGTGGAGGTGAGCCTGGGCTCCTGGCTTTAAAAACTACAAGGCTCAGGTTGGGCGATACATGGCAGGTCTCTGACACACCAACCAAATAGTTTAGGCGTGGATTTGGTAGGTGCCTACGTGTCTTATTGCAGATCTTATGACTTAATTAGGTTGGCTGGTTTGCCTCTGCCTTTCAAAGGTGTAATGAGATTATCTTCCATCCCTCTGGGATAACATGAGGAAAAGTCTCGCAGTGAATTTGTTTCAGGGTCGTGCAAGCAAAGGGTTACTTCTGCAGACCAGCGGCTGGTTCTTACTGGCGATTAATACTGTCAAAATCGCATGATGAACATTTTTAACCTCTTTCTTTCATTTACTAGTGCCCATTTAAAATTACCCTTTATTATCAGCTTATATGTTAAAAACCTGTCTTTTGCAAGATCTTTTTCTTGCAGTTGAGTGGTCACCAGGGGTTAAAGTAGGCACATGCCCTGCAGTGCCTTCAGTGACAGGCTGGCTGCGGGGCTGCTAAATTTTGAGTTCCGCTCAGAACCTGATCTACATAATTTTATTTTATTTTTATTGTTTTACTTTAGCAACTGTTACACCAACTGTTACACCAATGTAGATAACCGCTGCAGGGCAAGCAGAGAGAACTAATGTTGTATGCAGGTAGACGTATGAAAACATCTAATTTACCAGCAGGCAGTTGGGTAATGATCAGTTGAGAATTGCAAATTATGTACGTCATATATTTGTGACACGCTGCTCAAGAAAAGCCCAGTGCATATGACAAATCATATATATACTGAAATTTATAATACTTTTCACATTTAATTGACTGGGGCAACCTTATGATTTATATCTTTGCTTTATTCATAGCACAGCCGTAACATAGTCATAATGCAGAACGAAACTAATTCAATTTCTCCTTGACTTTGTAAATCATTCATATATTTGGCTGTCGAGTATTTGAATATAAAGTGGGCATACATACGGCAGAAAATAAATAGCTGATTCTCTAGTTAAGAAATTGAGTTTTAATGATATTAGGGTCCGTGTTGCCTTACTTGGATGTTTGGTCTTGCTTAGATAGCATGCCTTACATTTGCCCCTTGCCTTATTTCACAAGCAAAGTATATTTCATGGGCACCGGCATTACTCTCTTAACGGGCCTATATAGTGTTACGACTGTGTAAAAGGTACTCGGCTTGCTTTGACGGCAGCAGGAGCCCTTCCCAGGCTCAGGAGCAGTAAGTGGCTGAGCTGTTGGGCTGCTACTCTTGGTCACAAGAGGTCTGCTTGAACGTGCCAGGAGCACACGCAGGGACTGCAGGCAGGGGCTGCCTCATTAGTACCGTTCTGTAGATAACAAGAAGAAAATCTTACGTTGGCTACAACAGACTGTGATTGCTTTCCCAAAGGTCAGTTTTTGCCATGGAGCTATCATGCAGAGTCATTGAAAATACAGCCTGGAAAGATTTTTTTGTTTCCTTTAAATACCAGGTTACCTGGCTTGGCATCGCTAATTAATCTTGGGAAGCACAGCCCTGAAAAGCAATACCTTACCCACTCGACCACAACCAAGGAGGCTGCCTAGGGTGCTTGTTGCCTCCTAAGAAAAATAATCTTCTGCAGTCAGATCTTTCCCTGACATGGTTTTTGACACCTGTAGCATCACTGGAAAACATCTGCAAAATCAAGATAGTGCAGAAAGTGTGAGGCAGTTTGCTGGCTCATTATCATACCACAAAACCAGCTCTCCTCCACAGCAGCATCCTTGATTTCTAAATTTAGCATGTGAGTTATTTTGGGTAGTGTGTGATTAACTTCAATTACTGTAGCTCGGATGGAATTCAAATAATGCCCCCTCTTTCAGAGTTGCAAAGAAATGCAAATCTGAGACTGTACATTTCCTACCCTTAATGAAGCAGCTCTGAGAGATGCTTGCACGTCAGTGGAGGTCAGTTGTGCGGTGCATTTGTTCGTGGAGAAATTAATGGGGGCAGCTGATCCCGAAAGGTGCTCATGGTCCACAGCTTCGTACTGGTTTTGGGATCAGGAATATAAAGATGAAGGCAGCAGGTTATGTGGTGCAGCTGGTGTGAGTGAAACCTGGGTGGCCACAGCAGAGACCACTGAAGCTCAGTGGATTTGGATCACGGTCAGGACACTTTGTAGTTTTCCTGCTTGAATTAAATCAGTAACGGAGGCCTTCAAAAACTAATCAAAAATACAGTTTCCCTCAATCTCAGCCGTAATGAATGTCGGCTCTCTGGAAAATCATCGGTGGTGAAGCAATATGCAAATACATGCCTGCACATGTGCAGATCTACACGAGCGTGTGCAAGAGAGGGGAAATGAAGGATGCGCAGGCAGACGGCTGAGAAGATGCCGTGGAAAGCGGTGGGTCTGGGGGAAAGCGGCGTATTTCAGCCCATCCAGGGAGTGCTAATGGACGAGCTCATCATTCATCAGGCTGAGAATCAAAACTTTTGTCATCGCTGTAGCTGTAACTTTCCAGACTGCGCTGCACCAGCCGAGCCTTTCTTCTGTCAAGCCGTTTGTCTCCAGAGGAGGATAAAACCCAGGGAGGTGGTTAGCACAACCCCAAGCCAGCGAATAAAGCTCATTTATGTGTACCAGTCGGTGGGAGAGCTGACGTACAGCGGCTTGCTGGTAGCCAGAAGGGGCCAATACTTTGCAAATAAAGGTGGCATTTGGATGGCGGAGCCAGCCCTCCCACCTGAAGTCACGTTTGCACAAGGAGGTGAACCAAAACTGTGAGGTTTTGCACCAGGCTGAGCTTGGTTTTGTGCCTCGTGGGTGGAGCAGCGCCATGACCACCCCTCTGCTGCACATTTCTAGCCTTGTGCCATGGCCAAAATGACCCTGGAGGAGTCTAAAGAGTGGTTAGAGTCTGGAAAGCAGCTATAAAATTGCCACCTCATTACAGCAGCTATTGACTTCTTCGGGGGCTAGTTTGATTTTGTGCTTTTTTGTTGTTTTGTAGTTTATGTCCATGTATTCCCACTAAAAATAACAGATCTGCCCTGAGTCCTACCAGTGGGAAACTGCTCACAGCAGTCACCATGCCTCTTCCATGTGTGCTGTAATTGCTTGCTTAACTGGCAGAAACAACATTTTACCCTCAGAAGACATTTCAGGGCCAGGCAGACGCTGAACACTGAACCACAGGGCTGTGGGCAGTGTGTTGCAAAAAAAGAAAAAAAAAAAAAAAAAAGACCTCT